TTACTTACACATAGTAAGAAATGGTTATAAAAACTGAAACAGAAGTGAAACAAGTAATAGGAAAGAGGAGAAATAAAAAGCGATACTTATCCTTTGGCGGTGTCCCTGCCCGGTGGAGTCGAACGGTAGAGTCGATGGTCTTTACACTCTTCGGTCTTCACACGAGGAGGCATTCACGCGACGGCTGCCGCGGAAAACTAAGCTTTTTTATACCCGTCTAACAAAATACTAAATTAATTCAGCTGGACACACTTTCCTTATTTTTTCACAACAAATGGCCAAGCAAGCGCAGACACTGACAATATACGCGATGATGCCTACTTAGTAGGCACTAGTTAGTTTGGATCCAAGTGTTTCATGGTTTATAGTTATTAATAAACCTATTAGAGAAAAAAAAATGCCATGCTGTCGAAAGGGTTCAAATGATGTTGCTTGATGATTTTAAGCATGTTTTTTGCTTAAAAATGTTTTTTTTTTTTTTTGATGATTTTTACGTCATGATTTTAAGCATGTGGCCAAATGCAAATTAATGTGGTAACAGGGTTACATGCAGAATTTGGTGCACAGCTAAATATTATGTTTTTGGTAATTAAATTTAGTTCATTAATTAAAAAATATATTGCTTCTCTAATATATAGATTATATCAACATATTAAGATGTGATGTTTAAAACTGCCTAATTTTCATGCTTAATTAATTTAAATAGTTCATTTAAATATCTATATGTTTTATAATAGGTTGTCTATAATAAAACATATAGATATGTTAATTATATAGATATTGTTCTCAAATATAATACGTAGATATTGTTCTCATTGTAAAAAAATAAAAAATAATAATAAATAAATCACCTTCTAATTAAGATATTTTTTTATTTGTTTAGTTAACAGGGACATTGCACATTAATACAACATTTCTGTAAATATACCAGAATTAGCCAAGGGCTAATTTTCATCTGTAGTCTCTGGACAGAATGATGCAACAAATGTAACCCTGAAAAGACCCTGTAACAAATGTATCCCTAAATAAGAATACATACTGAAAGAATATAACAATTATATAACACAATCCATAAAACAATCTGGTAATAAAAACAATCAAGAGAAATAGAACATATAAAAAACAA